GTTTTTAATTTATAAATTATAAAGCTAAAACTTCAATTTTTTATTGTTGTTATAAAAATGGCATGTGGCCACACACCATAAGTGGGATAATGAAAAGTTCCACTTTAACGAAATAAAGCATTAGAAATGAATTTTTAAAAACAATCTGAGAATACAAGAAGAAAAATTATCAATTTTAAAAAATACATCCAAAAGACACTATATCACCAAGTAATGTATAAATAATAATAAATTATCATAAGATATAAGGGCTATTTTTTCCAACACTGGCAATTGTAATAACAAAAAACTTTTATGGTAAAGAGTTCAATGATTATTTACCCACTAAACGAGAGCTGCAAAAAAAATTAAGGACAACACCAAGAGCATCAAACCATATGTTTTTGTTGCTTTACATTATGGATGTGGTGTTTCTTACAAACTATGTTGCTAAAAAAATATTTTTATATCTAACAAATTGTTCAAAAGACTGATTAAGCTTTATAAAAAGCTTAATGAAAAGAAAATAGAATTGATATAGCTTAAAAGGGTGGTATTGCAAATTGATTTAGAGTTTGTATAATCTATATTTTAGTACAATTCTTTCCAAAATGTCACTCATCATATTAAAATTTCTTTGAAAGAGCGTTTTGAATGTAATGAAAAAAGTGTAGAAAAGGGAAGTGTAAGCATTTAGCCTCTTTCTAATCCATATACTTTGTTATGATTCTTATTATAATTAGTGCTTGCAAAGGGGAAATCTATTGACACTCTTTTTAATTTCTCTTTTGCTACTTTATTTAATTATTTTCTCAGCCTCTTTAACTTTTTTTTTTTTACATGCATTGAGGTTATTATTTAATTGTATTGATTTTCTTTAGCAATGAAAAAAGACTATGAAAAAAAGGAAATGGAAAAATTTATAATATTGAAAATATTATTAGTGCCCCAAACAATACTATGACGATAATAATGAAATTTCTTAAATGGACTCTAAAAAAAATAGGACTTTCCATGGTACATATTTTTTTTTCATTAATCCATTCAATTGTAATCACTTTCATTATTTTTTTCAAAGATAAATTTAGTTCTATGTGAAATGATATATTACATAATTTTACATTTAATTTTCTTTTTTAATAACTTTTTTCCATTTTAGAAAGGGATATTTAAATACACTAAACACTTGAAAACTTTATAAACACCTCTCACAAAGAAAAGAGAAATCAATTTAAAAACTGACAAGTGGCACATAGTGATAAAAATGTTAATTTTATCAATAGGTTAAAAGCTTCCTAAATGTTTAATTTTGTCAACAAAAATATATAATAAATTAGCAAAAAAAGTGACAAATATTAATTATAAAGTTGTGTTTATAGACTTAACAATATAGAAAAATTTTAAATAGAAATAAACACATTTAAAATTTTAATAATAAAGTGTTTGACAATCCAACTATATACAACCCACATTACACAGTTGATGATTAATCATTAAATAAAATAATTTAACATGATAAAAAATAATATTAGTAAGTTCATAAATAACATTGTTGTTCACAACTAAAATAAATAACATTTACAAATCATCTTTTTTATCTTACAGCTGTTTATAACAAAAAAATAAATTGCTACAAAACATAAAAATATTTAGAAATATCCTTTGTTATAAGTATAACAACAATATCATTTATAAATTTACTTATATTTTCTTTTCTTTTTTATTTCTATTAAATTATTTTATATAACTTAACTTCACTTTGTTTGATGTTTAACTATTAACTATTTAATGTATGGTTAGGTAGCTAAGCATTTTGTCATGTGTTTGATTTCTATTTAAAAATTATCTATACTATAAAAGTTATAAATGCAATAAAGAAACAAACAACCGCAAAACAAACTAAGGCATATAAGCAATATACAAACTTTAAAAATCCTAAACACATAACCATGCTCTTACCATTGTCACCACTTGTTTTGGTTATTCAACATATTAATCATTATTGTTCACAACTAAAACAAATAACATTTACAAAACATCTTTTTTATCTTACCATGATGATAACAAATTGGAGTAGAAATATATATATAAATGAATTTTAAAGTTAATTTAGAAAAAATAATAAATCATATCCATTTGCTAAAACAATATAACAAACCAAAGAAACTATACATTATTGGACAGGGTATGATTAAATTTTATAGTTTTCTGCACAGTAGCAACATTTTCAATGCTATGAATCTATAAGATAATTAAAATGTTCATAATTTATGTCTTGCAAGTATTATTAAGGGTAAGGTCTATGCTCTTTCTTGTATATAGAACCGATGCAAATTATGTGGTCCAGGAAGTCCTTTTACGAGTTGAAGGATCTCGTCAAGGAAAGAGCGATGAGTGCATTCACGAGCTCATGGATCGGAGATCCTGGTCGGCCTTGCACTCTCTTCTTGGCTTGTGGAGTTTCAAAAGAGCAGTCGAGGAGAAGCTTAAGGCCCATAGGGATCTTCTCGCTATAGACCTGAATTCTCTTCGTTCTAACTGGAGTTCTCGTTCAGGTTCTTCCTTGGTACCTAGAGCAGCCTCCGTCAGGTTTTCGCCCATGTACTTTCAGGTGTATGATTGGATTCGACAATGAATGTTGTTTCGCAAGGGATCCTGATACTAACCTGTTTCACACGTTTTTTTTTCTTTGGTTTCATGAAATGCTCATGCACACAGTTACACCATCGAAACGCAGTGCAACACCATCCACATGCAATCGAGCCGACCGGAACACAAGTCCACGGACGGCCACATTTCGCCCCACACTCACAGAGTGAGGACCAGATAATGGCAAAAGGAACGAAGGTACGTGATTTTAAAGTTCTTGTCACATTCCTTTTGGGAGATCATGGAAACAAAACGTAGCAATTCTATTCAAAGCCCGCATTTTTTGAAGAACCGTAACAAGATCCCGGAGCTCCAGGAATCGCAGGTTCATTGTCTCCGCTTCTCTGGGCTTCACCAGTGATCAGTAGGAAAACTTCATTGGTTTTTCGTCCAGAAAGAGATCTCTCTTTTCTCTGTGGCTTTGTTTAAGAACGGATGCTCGCGCTAACTCCAGCGATGATCCTATGTGGCAGAAGGATTGTTCTCGAAACAAACTATCAGAACTTGAAAACTTCGAGAGCACTCGAACGCCCTGAATTTATCCCGAAGAATCACATAGGTTCGTTTGGCAACAGAAAATTTTGCTGGACACATGAGCTTTTAAACGACTCCAGTACTCAACATCGTCTCCTGGAATGCGATGCTCCAAGCGTTGGTCCAGGGCAATTGAATCCACGAAACCTGGGACCTCGTTCGATTGGATGCACGAGAGCGACATCATCAGCTGGAATTCCATCGTTACAGGCTATCCCTGGTGGGGGAGTGGCACGGTCTCTTTCACAAGGTGGCGGAGAAGAACACGAATGCGCCGACGCATGCTGGTGAGATCAGTGCCTGCTGCTTGGCAATCTCTGCGACTACCTAGAACGCAATCTAACGTCGTCATGGAGGGTGATAGGACAATTTTATTTCGCGAACTCCACGTCGAGCAGAGTAAAAAAAAAAACAAAACTCAGCGAGCGAGCGAACTCTACAACAATGTTTGTAGAGTAAAAACTAGGAAGGCCTCAAACTAGCATCAGGCAGGTAAGAATTGCTGCACAGCCCGCGGCAAACATGGTGGACATCTGAAAAACCAACCAAAGTTTTAATCTAGAACGAAGAAGATTAGAAACTTGCTAGGATGGCCTTGTTGTTATCAAGGGCAAACCAAGCCCATGCCACGTTACAAGCCAGAGACACGAGTGGCACCACCCAGCTCCAACGGGCACTGCTGTGAGGGAGTGTCGCCACTCGAACAGCAAGGGGAGCAAGCATCGAGGCTGCCGTGGTCGCACAACCAATGAAACCAAGGACGTCGATCTTGAAGCAGAACTCCTTCCCGTCGTAGAGGTTGCGCAACAGGTACACTAGACAGTAGTGACTGATCCCAAGCACCGGGGGCCAGAAGAGGGGCTTCCATGTAGCCTTCCATGCATATGCAGCATAGAAAACTCCCGTGACGAATCCCAGGAGATTCACCACCTCGACCACACGATCGTTGTGCTCACGGCCGAAAACATACCAAGATATCGAATTTATCTCTGGAGAGAAAAAAAAAAAAAAACGTTGCAAACTGGAATGGAAATGAAAAAAAGAAAACGCACCGGAGAGGCCGAAGAAAACACTCGACTGAATCCCCGTCTCAAGGAATGGAAGGGGAATCAGGAAGAGGACGACAGTGATCGAGACAGCTGCACGCTAAACAAAGAAACACACACTTGTTCCAGGACAGGCAAGCATTGGTTTCTTACTCGGATGTTCTTCTTCGGCACCGCGCCCAGGATCTTGCTTATTGCGCCTCCGGCAGTCCCTGGTGCTGCGCCCAGGAGAGTGTCGCTCGCCGCTTCACCACCAGCGCCATGATCGGCCGCCGTCACGGGGAGCGCATCGCCGCCGCCCGCCATTCCGCCGGACCCCGACATTGCTTGTAACTAGGGTTTTTCTACCTGATTTTCTTTTCATTCGACCGCCCGAATCGCGCAAAGAGGTAATGTTCATTCCAGTCTCCAGTTCTTACAAAGGGAATCGCGCAGTGAGTGCTTCGTTCAAGCGAGCAGCTCAAAAAGCGCCTTCCACTGTCAGCATTTTTCCAAGCTCCAGGATCCAGGCGAAGCAAAGGATCCAGAAGACTAGCGAAGTGCAGTGCGCAGGGAAGAAGACGACGAGAGATGTGTATCTTTGGCTGTTTTATATTGTTTCACTCGTGTTGGGAAACTTGAAGAGACAAGGGTGAGCATAAATATTCTGGACAGCATTTGTAGCTTCACTGTCGCTGCAGGCGAAGGAGGGAACCAGACTGTGACGGGAGAATTGGAGCCTCTGTCTGTCTGTCGACTGGGAGATAAGCATCAACATCAAGGCTGAAAGGATAACCGTACGCACGGATGAGGTGTGCTTGACATGAACACGCGCCTGATTTACGTAAGAGTTCTTTCTTCTGATTCTACGCTGTTGTGCTCTCAAGTGCTGGAAAATTGGAGTTCCTGACCCTTCGTCTCACGGATGGATTGACCAGGAGAACGTGCTGAAGTCTCATGAGAAATCGTTCCAGACAGATGGAAACATGAAGTTCTTCTGGCAGCCATACAAAAAAGATGGATCTATATAACCGGAGGAAGCTACACGGTTGGACGAGTTTATCTCAGGATCCAGATGAACTAGAGCAGAGGCAGCAGTCGTACATGGAAAAAGCAGATGGAACGGGAAAAGAAGAAGAAACGGAAAGAAGAAATAAAGCTGATAACTGAAAGTGAAGATGCCATTGAAGAGGAGGTCCCACAGCTGGACAAGGTTGAAAAGGCGGGAGGCGAAGCAGACAGATTGCCGCACAGAAGCTAAAAAGAAGGGGCCTGAGAAGATGGAAAAGCTGGAAAAGCCGGAACAGCCAACTCGTAGTAGAAGAAGAAGAAGAAGAGCCTTCAAGTCTTAGCGGTGAGGACACCAAGAGAAGGTTTGGTGAAGAGGACAGCAACAGCCGGACGAGAAATTCTCGGATAACCTCCAGCAACTCCTACGACATTTGCGGCAATCACAAAGTCAAGCTTTTACTTTTCCGATGCTCAACAGCAGAAGCAAGCCTCTCAGGTGGTGGAGAGAAGACGAACAACCTCCCAAAGTCAGCCTTCTTCGGACCTGTCTTCTCGAGAGCGCATGGAACCTGTGACGTTAACTTGTGCCACGAAAAAGTCCCTCGTCACGCTTAGAACCACGAGGAGTTGCAATAGCTCTCGAGAGGAGGAAGTAAAACCAAGAGTTACTCGTGGAAGATCTTAGAGTGGGACGTTTATTCGATTGCGATTCCAGTCTAGTGGCACTGGAAGAAATGGAAACAGGAAACATTTAGGAGCAGGCAAACTATTCGAGGGCTCAGCCACGTCGACTAACTGTCGGGGATTACAGGACGAGCCGCCTGGCCAAGCTGATCTGCGCTGCATGTCTGTGCTACTCAGACATGCTGACTGCACGGCTCGATGAAATTGTCCACGCACATCTGGAGCTCTATGAGTCGGAAAGCTGCGTTATCATACGTCATTCAGAAAGCTGAAAGTCCGTTAGCGCGATCTTGTTTATTTTTTCTTTTTACGATTTCAAGGGGTATTCTTCACCGGGAGAATTGACCCTCTGGATGATCAGTCGCCGCCGCAATCTTTTCGTTTTCTAAAACGTTTGTGACGTGAACTTGCTGGGCCAATGCTGGGAATGAGAAGAATGCTCGTATCCGTTGCCGTGGAAGCAGTTGCCTTCACGAAGGCTTGCTTGGAGCATGTGGTTATTCAATTCTGTTGTCAATTTAGGACTTTTGTTTACACAGCCTAGCTTTCTAAGAGTGGGAAAGTTTACGAAACTATAAATTTATTAGTTCAAGACATTTAAATCTCTAGAAAACTGTCTTTTTATGAGGCTAGACAATTCAGAGGAAATGCTCAGATATGACAACTCTGAGGTTTTATGAGGCTCTTCAGATTTTTTGGTAAAGTATTCCCTGTAGCCTTGGCAAACTCCCTCAAAGCTTCAATGGTCTTCTCTTGGCGCACAGCAAGCCGCTCATCCATATCCATTTCTCCCAATCTATCGCAGCGACCATATAGCATTTCTAGTGGAGACTGCAACATGTAGAAATGAATCAACATCCCGTGGACAATTGCAGCGATCGATCCCACAAGTAAAAGGGCTTGTCTATGCCATCCCAGCGGTGGAGCAACGGTGCCCAAAATACAGGCAGCCATGCAACTCGTAATCATCGTCATGTACACCACTATGAACTTGAACAATCCGGGCCCGTCATACCATTTGTCAGGAAGTTGCATTACCGGAGTGAGAAGTCCACAGCATGATATCGCCAGCAGCGGAAGCATCACCCATTGATTTGTGCTCATTATGGAACACACACCACTGAGAAAACCGCTGGTGCCTCCAACAAGAAGACCATATGCATTACTTTTCTTTCGACCCAAAAGGGCATAGAAAAATACTGCATGGACGCACTTGTCAGTCTCGAGAGAGAAAAAAGTGAAACACTTACATGATACGAAGACAGGAACCAAAGCAGAAGCTCCGCTTCCTTCGGGGAACTCAGGGGGCCAAAATATGGCACCCATATAGAACCCATATATAGTGAAGCAATGACAAACAAGATTTATCAAGAACTGGCGCCGTATAATCCAGTGCCCACTGAGGTTCCAACTCTCGTAGATATCAGCAAGATCATACTCACCATTTGGGCTCAACAATCCCTGCTCCATAGGGTAACTTAGATTGTCCTTCGCCAAATATATCCTCGACTGTATCTCATCCGACGGCTATTAGAAAAGGTCATGAGACCACCCATATCAGCCCTAAACTGCAATTCAATAGAACTGGCAATTCGTGTCGGGCAAATGCGCTCCATCGTGGTGTTTAAGGATTCTGCTTAAAATTCATGGTTGAGGCGCATAAAAGACACTGGAATGAATTGATAAGTAAGGTGGCGAAGCATAGCTATGCTGCTCTAGAATCCATGATCAAGAAGCATGAAACCTGTTTTGTAGCAGCACGGTGACATCGTGACGCAAACATTGTTCTTGTGGACATGTCCACCAGGGAATGTCGTCACTTCTTTGTTTAAAAGTCCAGCTAAAAATATTTTAACCTTGATATTGTGTTGTTAACTAGGGTTTCTAGTATTATTATAAATGCCATAAGCAAATCTATAGAGGAGCAAATATACCTAGAAGATGCTTGGATATTCTAGGATATTCTACCATCTAACTATAGATATTTATTTAGATTAATATTATATTTTTAATTTATAATATTCTAACATATAATGGTTTCTATGCAATAAGATTAATTTTTTACTTATAAATTATAATTATACTTGATTTTTATAAGAAATAGTAGAGTTAGACTATACACACGGTTACTAGAAGGCAATTATCTTGTTATTGCTAAATGGTTATTTAGAGAGTTCATTATAAAATTTAATTCAAAGCCACTGCATATGATCATTAAAAAAATATATGGCTTATCTTAATGTGTGATGAATACTCATCTGGATTCATTAATATCAACTTCTCTTCTAATTACAAATTGATCAATTACTATTAAGTCTTAATACACCCACCAAATTTTTATTATTGCTTGCACTAAGTTATTTCCAAATCTAGGGAATCAACAATAAATCTTGCTCATGGCTCAATAGTTCTGCAGTCAAACTACTAGCTAGCTCCAATTTGATGTACCTTTACTCTCTCACCATAAGCATTATTTTGTGCTATTATTCTTAGCAATTCACCTGAATTTTAGACAAGTAAATGCTCAGTATAATGCCCCAACTGTAGACTGCATAAAGAGCAACATACAAGTTTCAGTCACAATCATTTCCAATTCTATATAAATAGACTCTTGCACCAATTACTTTTACACCAACCTCTTTGAGACTGATGGGCTCTATAGTGTTGTGAAGTGAATGGTATAGAGTGGCCATCCTGAGGTGATTTTTAAGATGTGGAGGTGTTTCTTAATCATTTTGCTACTTATGTTGAGACTGAGACTAAGTCTGAGTTCAAATTTAAAACCAAGACTAAGTCCAAGTCTAACACAAAGTCTGAATCCAAATCTAAGGGTGAAAGCCTGTCTCCCAAACCCTTGAGGACTTGAATAGAGCCAATTTGGCCAAGAAAGGCCAAGTCTTGGTTTCAATCTTGGTTTTAGACCCAATTTTGAACTCCATCTCAGTCTCTTTTTTGGTCTTGGTTTTAAACTCCATTTTAGATTCCATCTCGAACTCCTTCTTACACTCTATTTTGGATTCCATCTTGAATTTCATCCTGAACTCCATCTCTTCTCAGACTCCTTTTTGGATTCAGTCCTGACACTTCCATATGTTATAACACTTGCCATAACACTTGTCATGTGTTAGTCCTTCTCATGTCCCTTTTTTAGAGATTCATTTATTTTATGCTTGTTCTTTAAACACTTCATTGGGACTTTCATTCCCACTCTCAACTTTCCGAGTTGGAACTTTTAGTTCAAACATGTTACACTTGTTGGACTTTTACTTTGGCCACTACCATATGGCACCCTTTCAGCCCCATTTTGGAACTTAGGGATTTATGTGTTGCAACAACTTCCTAAACAATAGTTTTATAATTTTGAAGGTGTTATATTATGTATTGCTCTTGTAAGTAGCACATTTTAAACATGTACTATAGTATTGACTACCTCTATCTAGAAGAAGCAAAGAACATTCATTGCTTTAGGCATTGCACAAGAAACATCCAAGATAGTGAGCATCTTTCACTCCACAACTTTGTTTTGCTTGTAATAATATAGTATTGAATATCACCTCAAGAAGCAAGGATGGTTCAGAACTTTGTAGAAAGTGATTCCTAACCTCCATCAACACAAAGAGTTCACAAAGAAGTTTCCTTCTTAGTTT